GGTTGTTCCGTAGAGGATTTAAGGTGAGGCTCTGTGACCGCCTGGGTGCGCTCAGTGGTGGTCAGTGCCTGTCTAAGTTTTCCTTTCCCTTTTGTTAGAGAAGGGAAGAACCAGTACCTGCAGGCATTTGGCGTTCCCTCCGAAGAGCTCTTCAGCGCCATCTACAGGTAACGCTAACCTCTTTGAAACCAACAACCATAAGATGATGCTAATTTTTAACACATGAACTGCCCCACTAGAAAAAAAAATTTTTTTTTACCTGGGGCCACGGTGTTTTATTAGGAAGATAGAATAAAAAGTTAGAAAACAAAATGATCCTTTCAAATTGGAAGGGATAACACGACATGAAAAATTTGTTATTTTTTATTGTTTTCCATATGTGACTTATATGCATTTTAAAAACCGTTCTCGCGGCTCACAAGGGGAAGAGACATTTGAGTTGCGTATGCTCCCCAGGACCCGGGCTCAAAATGAGCGTGAGTTAAATACAACTCACAGGGAAATTAATACGTTAAAGTACTTACAAGAATTGATTGCTGTGTCCAAAACGGGACAACCGAAAAGGATGCCGGTATTCAGTTTAAAATAATAACCTCCCCTGCCCCCCATCTCCGATTTTGCCATTCTGACGTTTGTGTTGAGCAGACTCCCAGGTAGATGGTAATTAATTGGCCCTTCCCTCCAAGCGACCGCATACAAACCCCACATTGAATTAGGGAAGGGAGGTGCTGTTTTCCGTTTGGCCAGAGGTGCCCGGACGAGGCCTCGGTTCTTTGCTTTGCTCTGCACACGGCTTTGGGGTTTGCATGAAGCTGTAGTATCAACATATCCAACTCGTGGTCAGCTACTGACACTTCCTGAGTTGCCGGCTGGCTGAGGCGCAGAATGGGACAGGGACTCCTCCCTCCTTCCCCTTCCTGAGCCTGCTCCAGGTTGTCCAGAGCTGGGGGTGCAGTGGCGGCCGACCCAGGCCCCCACCCAGTCCCGAATCATGTCCTGCTAGGGTGGGACAGGCCGCATGGCACACATGCACGGCTCTCACACGCACCTGCGGGACACGGCTCTTTCCCCCGCAGAGGGTCACGTGCCGCCGCCTACAGTGGCTGCGCCCGCGATGTTGCATGATCTGCACAGGCGTGGTTTTGCGTCCCAGGTCGGAGGGGGAGCGGCTGCGGTTCACGCGGGGCCTGCAGGAGGTCTGGAGCGTCTGCGGGCGCAGCGTGCTGGCGGCCTTCGACCTGTCCCAGTTCCCTCTCATCTGCGACCTCGGGGGTGAGTGCCCGGCCCGCGCGCCAGAGCTGCGCGCACCTTCCGCGTGGGGAGCGCGTCAGGCAGCCACGGCTCTCATCGTCCGGGTTCTGATGCAACGTGACACATAGTTCTCGGGGCTCCAAGGGGAAGAGACGTGCGAATTACCTATGCTTCGCGAGGCCTCGGCTCCAAACTAGCGTGAGTTAAATACAACTCACGTCACCGTTAATGTGTTGCAGTACTGCAAGGATGGATCGATGTGCTGAAAACGGGACAAGCCAATCCTAAGCTTGCTCCCTCTGCCTCCCCTGTTCTCTCCCCTGGAACACACAAGAAAAGCGCCCGCCCACTTTTTCTTTCCCTCCCCTCTGCCTCCCGAATACTCCCGGTCCCCACTGTGCCCTGCACGGCGTGGCTGGCACCCTCCTCCTGTGGGGCTCTGCAAGTAACCAACCTCCTCTCCCACGGCTGCCCATCCAGGAAGACCACCTGAAGGCAGGGCGTGTCGGCGGTGACCAGCCTTCCACAGCACACGGGGGAGGACCACGTGCCCAGCCCGGACCCCGCCAGGGCGGCTGGGGCGTGACGGTGCGCAGCGGCTCGCTGACGCTCAGACGCGCCGTATCCCCTTCCAGGAGGTGGCGGGGCTCTGGCCAGGGAGTGCGTTTCTCTGTACCCCGCGTGCAAGGTCACCGTGTTCGACACTCCGCAAGTGGTCCGGTTGGCAAAGGAGCACTGCTCGCTCCTAGAGGAAGGACGGCTCGGCTTCTGCGAAGGTAGGTTCGCCTGCGCTGGGGGCATTGCTCACGGGAGACGGCGGGCGAAGTTTCGTGTGGCTCCCCGGCCCCCCGAGATAACCTCCCAGCTTAAAACTGTGTGTTAGGCCGGGCGCGGTGGCTCAC